ATTGGACCAAACTCAAGCTCATCTTGGACTTGAATGAGGCTCAAAACAGTTTGGACTTGATAGATATTCTTACCCATCGATTTATGAATGTTCTCCTTATCTAGAATCTCTTGAATAAGCCCGTTAGGTGCATCTTTCATTCTTTTAGCTCGTGCTCTTGTAACTGGTCTAGCGGGTACAAGGATCCTTTTCATCATCCTTGTTGCATACGATGTACTGATCGTGCGAACGGATTTTTAGTAAAGAAGTCACCAATATATATACATGTCTTCTTCTCCGAGTAAAATTGAATTAGAGTAAAAAAAACTTAGCACAAAGCTAGAACTGGACAAAACAAAATGTTTCGTTAGATTCTAAATAAATCACTTGATGTTCTTCGTCAATTGCTAGGACGATCCTTCTTCTACAATCGCTAGGTCCATCCTTCACAGTGACAAATCCTTCAATGTAGGAGCTATAAGTTGTGGAAGAACAAAATTTGAACCCTTAAATCCTTCGTTTGATAACGAGACCCAGAGTAGAGTACATATCAATTGAAAGAGTAGAATTCAACAGCTCAGCCACATCTATCCAAGAACAAACAAGTAGTAGACAAAAGAAGTTCTTAACATAAGCTAGAGTTCTGATTTGTTAGAAATTCGTCGTGAGAAACTCTAGAGAATCACCGTCGCTATGACTCCAAACCAATCACGAATTGAAGGAAACTCAAGAGGAAGCGCTTACCACAGAGCTAGAGATGAACACATGAAGTTTTGTCAGATTTTGGGAACTCTGTGTGCTCTCGAGAAGCTTTGGTTAAATGTCGTTGGAAGGGAGAACGTGATATATTGATCGAAAAAATAAACGCTTAGCACTTGGCTAGAGATTTGAGGCGTTGGAGATCAGATCTGGGTTTGGTTTCTCAGTCTCCAATGGAACCATCAAGCCACTGCCGCTGTCCATTCTAGCCATTTCGATGGGAAGATCTGGCAACTTCCGAGCAAAGACGAGCCGAGAAATCTTTAAGATGGACGGTGGCAGAGTGGACGGAGACGAGTCTTCAGCAGAGAAACAGAGACGCCCCACCCTCGGCATGGTGCCGGAGAGGAGGAGAAAGAAATGGGAAAACTTGAAGAAAGTCACCCGAAATAGTCACCGGAAAGCTTGGAGGAGATCACCGGAGAAGGAGGAGTCTCGAAGACAGATGTTGGTTTGAATTCTAGATAATCATGCCGAGAGGTTTTTGTCTCCAATGTTAATAATAACAACTTACCTTTTTTTTGTTTGTCATCTCAAAATGATGAATAATGTAAATGATTAAGTTTTACACAGAGGACCATGGCCAGTAGAGGATTAATCCATTTGTAGCCAAACAGCACGGATACAAATTTGTCAAGAGTCAAGAGCCCAAAAAAGGGAAACAAAGCCCTGCACAACTACCTGGAAACAATGGAACCAAATCGAAGGAAGCAAACCAAACCCAAACCGGATAATATAAAGCCAATGACGCAGCAAAAACGGAACACACAACAATGATGCAATCTCTGGAGAAACTCAATCTTCAAAGGTAAAGAGCTACGCACGGATCGGTAGATGCACTACAAGAAAAACAGGTCATGAGTGACTAATTTTTGTGACTGTTTTTCAGTCACAAAATATTGTGACTCATTT